CTGGTATGCCAGCAGGACTTGTTCTCTACATGTCTAATCTCCGACTTCATTCTGTATAAGGAAGTATATGGTCACTGGCCACTCTCAAGACTTCCTTCCTTCTTTCTTGTCTCAGAATACTACTATGGTGGAAGAGTCCTTCTTCCCTTAGTTCCACCTGAAAACATTCTAGAGAAGAACTCTGCTTGCTTTGCTTGTGTCATATGCCCAAGTTGGGGAACTCTTTTGAGCTGCAGCTGCCAGGAGAACCTCCTGTTTATAGTGGAGGCCAGAACAGTTTCCCCAAAGAAAGGGAGCATTGTTCGCAGAATAATGGAAGTTACCAGGCAGACAAATAGATGATCAATATGTAAAACAGAGGCTTTCTAGTTGAGGTTCCACCTATTCTATCCCCACTAGGTGGCTTCTGAAGCATACTTTGAAGACCCCATAAGCATCCTTGGAGTAGAGCATTAAAATAATTGATTTTAGTGATTGGATAGCATGCCAGGTGCCTTCAAGTCCCTAACAAATTGAAGCACTAGATATTTATTGATGGTGGAGTTGCTTAACTAGAGAATGTCTGGAATAAGGGAAGTACTAGAAAGAGTGATGCCAGTGTTGTTGGGGTTGGTTGGGGTGGAGATTCTCAATCAGGGACATGAAAACAGGGACTGTAGGGAAAAGAGGCAGGTGGGCAGCAAGGTGAGTTTTGCTTACTCGGCCCTTTTATCTAGGACTAATGTATCATATGGTGCACTTTAGTAATGGTGGAAAATGTCAGTCTCTGGCTAAAGTAGTGGTATGGTCTTTGGTGCCATCCACAGTTATTCTAGAGAAAGGAACACTGGGGATGTCGATGAGTAAAGCCACGCTTCTTGAATGAATATACCCATGGTAGATGTTACCTCAAAAAATAATAGAAATATAAAGTAATGGGGATAGAGGGAGACACAAAAAAAGGAATGAGTAAAAGATGGAAGATGGAGAAGAGTGTAGTTCAAAAAAACAAAGAATCTGTGACTGGAATAGAGTTTAGACCTCTGTCAGGAGATCTGGGAAATAAAAATTTAAGATTGTCTCTACTAATATTTGTTTAAAAGCTGTATTAATGAATATCAAGTAAATTACATTTAGCTATTTTACTACTATATATTACTGCATAATTTTAATGTGATACTTTCCTTGAGGTCATGTAGTGATTAATATAAAATTGTGCATTGAAATTAGTAACATCAAATTTGACTCTTTTCAAATAGTAATAATGTCCTTAAATAAGAAAAAACTTTAAATCTTTGCCTTTTGAGTAAGCTGTTCAACAGAATTTCAGAACACAAAGGAACATAGCTGTGAGGGGTCTTACAGGTCCACTTCTCATGCTACCAACAGAAAAAACAGGGAGAGAGATTTACTCAGATCAAATATTAATTGCTAATTTGGAAAAGACACAGGTGGGTTGCTAGAACATCAAGGCTTTTTTTAATTGAGAAGGAATAAACAATTCTGTAATAATACAAATAAACAAAAGTGTTTCAGAACAAATTGTACCTACACAGAACTGCTATTAGATCAATTTGGTCAAAAAGACCTTATTTAAGCCAGAGCTTTCAATTGTATAAATTACTTTTCTTTAAAGAGAGATTTTCTTACTGTGTTTTTATTTTTAATCTTAGTAAGAAAGTGTAGTATCTAATAAACATGAAAAATTCCCATGAGACCAGCTATCAAAAGCAGGTTACTAGTCTATTGTAACTTTGATCTATTATAAAACTGCTTTTTAAAACTGGCTTCAGTGCTATACTTTCGCCGTAGTTGGGAAAAAGGGAGGGAGCTTTCTCTTTTGTATCAGTGAGGATTTAATTTCTCAGCAGCTATACAGTGCCAACCATTTAATTATTATTTCTCTAATTCACATATCAAATGAGAAAAATAACAGTCTATTTTTTGGATGATATAGTTATACTTGTTAATATATAAAAGTATTCCCTTTCTTTTGTTTTTAGTGAGTCAATCTATTTGCTATGTTCAAGGGAACATCCCTGAGAGTAGAGATTATTTAAACATAACCTGCATCTAATTGACCTTTTTTGAATAATAAGATTCACTACTCTTATCTCTGAATGTTACAAATGCCACAATTTAATGGATTGTCATGCATTTACTATTTAAAATTTAGAGGCCAACGATGAACATCCCTGGTATAAACCTGAGCTTCAGGACCAGTAAACCCTACTGTTGATTAGCACTTAACATCCACAAAGGCTCTCTCCTCTTCCTTCAGCCTTGTCACTACTGCTAGTCAGGCTGTGACAATGGCAGATATATGGCTCAAGTGAAAATGACAGTGCCATTGGCCTTACACTCTTGGGTACTGCTGTGACTATTAATTTTGTGTCACTTTTCATACTTTCATTTCTGGTTTGTTCTGTGAAAATTTCCTGTTTATGTGTCTGCTTCCCCTATGATTGTTGAGCTGCGTAAGAAGTCTGATGCTGAATACAATGTCTGGAAGATACTACCCAGTCTGGACATCTTTGTTTATATGAATAGCTGGAATCTATATACCTATGGGTATTTGGAGAATCTTACCTCTGTAGGGATTTTTCATTGTCTGATTTATATTTTCCAGGTGTTTATTTTCTTCTTTTCTTTGACATCTGGGTAGTATGTCTCTTTGGGGAAGTGTTTGTGTGCCAAGGAGAAATGCTGTGGCAAGATGCCATTGAGGCAGGTTTACTATTCTGGGCCGCTGAAGTAACTTGTTTCTTTGTTGCTTCCAAAGCCAAAGATAATTGCTCATGGTATGTTAGCCTAGACTCAAAAGACAGTTGGCAATGAGTGGGACTTCTTCCAGGATTAAGGCCATTTTGACACCTACTGTAGAAGCTAGTATGGGGGTGGTGTTGGTAGGGAGGGAACTGGAAACCACACAGGTGGAAAACAAAGTAGCCTGCAGGCTTCTCTGTCCTGCAGGGCTTCACTCACTCCCTCCTTCACTCCCGCCCTCCCTCACTTCCTGGTTACAAAGACGAAAGTGGTACAATTGTTTTTTTGCAAGGGTGGACTCAGTATCTGATCAGTTTTGGGGAAATGATGATTTGCATTTTTCCGTACCCTTTTCCCGGGTGAAGGCCTTTTGCATTCAGTAACAGGACCTAAGATTAACTGCAACGAACATAACGTGCTTAGTGTGCTGAAAAACATACCTGCGGGAAGAATATTGAACACTGCTAATACACACTTGACCAACACCAATCAGTACACAAACCCAGAGCATGCATTGAGACATTGTGCAAAACTGCTCCAGAGCAGTATTTTGTCCCTTAGAGCTGGTATAATTTGTTTTTGGCTTGCTACGTACAAGCTGAAACTGACCCACAAAAACAAAATCAAACCCCAGAAGCTTAAAATGTCAAGGCCACATTCATCAAGTAAACATTAATATTATTACTAGTTTACATTTCGATGTTTTCATCCTGGAGCTGGCACTGCCAAACGTTATTCTATCGCGAGAAGGGAGAATTAGAAAATGAACATGACGCTGTTACCGCGGTTTCACAGGTTCTTTTATTTACCTTTCGAAATAGGACTTACAGATGTTCTACCTGAAAACATTTTTTTGAAAACGTCAGGAAACATTTCCTTTGGTTACTTCACCTCACCTGGCGTTTCATTAGCCACCTAGACCAGCGCACTGCTTTGCAGTCAGAACGCCTCTGGCGACTTTGCAGTAAACAGCATCGAGTCCTTGTACGAAGGTTGGGTGAGGCGGGTTCGCCAGTCTCTTCCCCCACTTGGCTTTGTGGATGTGGGTTTCTGATGCCCTATCAGGCTACCCAGCTCTGCTAGTCATTTAAACCAAGAGACAAGAGTAAGGAAACAAGCAAGGGTAAAATAGAAAACAAACAAGACCCCTGGCATCCACTCACGCACGCGCACTACGCCCCAACCCGGGCCCGGGGGCGTGGCCAAGGCGTGGCACTGGAGCTCCGCCTCATTCCCTCCTCACCCCACCCCTCCGCCCCGGGGAGTGACAGACTCCCGCCAGCCCCTCCACGTCAATCAACCCTCCTCCTTCTCGCACTCTCTGCACCTTGTTATTAATCTCAATTCCGATATTGCCCGGGCGCCTGACCCGGCCTTCGGCGGCGTGAGCGTGTGTGACCGAGAGTAAAGGCAACGAAAGCTGGCGTCCCTGTGTAGCAGACTCGGCCCCGGCAGCGGCAGGCGCAGCAGCAGGCACAGCAGGAAGCCCCGCAGCGGCGGCAGCCCTAGCGCCGGGAGGCCAAGGCCAAGGCCGGGCTCTGCGCGGCGTTCGTAGTAGTAGCGGCGGCTCCAGCGGCCGCGGAGCGCAGCTTCCTCCGACCCGGGCCTTCGCGGGGCCTCTCCTGCGCACCGGAGTCAGCGTCCCCGGAGCCCGGAGGCGCGGCCCTCGTCCCCATCCTTGCCCCGATCCGTCCACTCCTCGCCTCCGCCTCTGCGGTCCCTCAGGCGGCCCGGCCCGGCCCGCCCGCCCCGCGTCCCCTCCGGCCGGTGCCTCTCTCCGGCGGGCTGCCTGCATGTCTTTGCTGCCCTCAGCCCCGCCGCCACCGCCGCCGCCGCCACCCCCGCCGCCGCAGCACCAGCAGCAGGCGCCCCGCCGCCGCCGCCGCCGCCGCCGCCCGGACCCCGGCGCGCTGGATGCAGGTGAGGAGGGGTGCGGGCCGTCCGCGCCCCCGGGTCGGGGCCCCCCGTGCGCCCGTATCCGGGCCCTGCTGCCGCGGCGCCTTCCCTTCGGGGCGGGCGCGAGGCCCGCCCGTGGGTGTTTGTGTTTGCGTCTGCGGCCGCGCTCGGGAGGGGAAGCCTCTGTGGGGCCTGGTGCGCGCGCGCGCGCGTGTGTGTGTTTCCCCTGCCGCGGGGAAATGGCTGCTCGTGCTGCTTCTGGGCTGGAGGAAGAGAAGGGGCTACAGGGTTTCTGTGCCTCGGAGTAGGATCCGGAGTTCTGGGAAGAGGAGCGCGTCCCCGGGGAAATGAGGTAGGAAAGGGACAAATGTGCGTGTGGGTGTGCGAGTTGGGACTTCGACGGGCGGGGAGGCGGCGGGAGGACCCAGGCGAGTGGGTGTGTGCCTGGCGTGGGGCTGACCCCAGCCTCTGTGGGAGGCGCGAAGGTTCCGGGGTCCGCTGCCAGGCCGGGGATGCCGGGGGCGGATTCCGTGTGTCCGGGACCCCCGGCTGCCGTGTTCCTCCCCCTGCGGCCGAGGCCCCGGAGCCTCTCAGGTGAGGGCTGCTCGCGGGGCCAGGCCGAGGAAGGTGCGTGTGGCACATGCAAGCAACTGGGCGCGGAGAGCTGCGGGTTCGGGCCGCGCTGCCGTTCCCGGGGCCGAGGCAGGAAGCGCGCCGGCCTGAAGCGCGGCGGCCTGAAGCGCGGCCTATCCGCTTCCGTGCCCGCCGCCCGCCTCCTCAGCCTCCCCGGACTCCCGCCGGGCCGAGGGCGCTGCTTCGGGCCTGGGCAGGTGAGGGTCGGAGGCGGGACGTGCCGATTGCCGGCGTCTCGGCAGCCTCTGCGTCTCCTGAGGAGGGAGGAGGCATATTTTTGGCGTTCAAAGCGCTGGCTCTGCCCCTGGCCGGCGGTGGGACCCGAGGGAAAGTGAATCAAGCAGTTTCGGGAATACGCGGTGTCGAGATCCCTTCTTTCATCCTTCCCTTAAGGCTGTATGAAGGAACTAAGTACATGGTTTCATTTTCTGTTGCAAATCCTGTCGATAAGATGTATACATGTTTTTAAGTAAACAATTTCTTGGAGGGACAGGGGGAGCAATGAAGGCTGGCTTGCCTATCCTGTGTTGTTGGGATGGGATCGATTTTGTGCATTTGAAATTGTTTTATCCTGCCTCCTAGGGGGAAAGGCGCGTACTTGCCGAACTGAAGAGGGCGGTGAGGAAGAGGAAGTTACTGGAGCTGTCACCCTAGACTTGGCCGGCTGTTTAGCTTAGGCTGCTTAGGTGGATTGTGTTCAGGGAGTTAGCTGAGCCGTTTGTACACATTGGAAGCACCGTACTGCATTTTAGGAGATACTACCTTATTGTCTCCAGTTATCTTGACTGTCAGTCGAGTACGGACAAACAAGTTTTCTCTCACAGCCTCCAGAAGCTAGATAGATCAAGCAGCCTGTACTGTCTACTCAGTGTGGGCTCTAGGAAAGCTATTTTGAGAGTAGTCTAAGCAGAACGCAACTCTAAAGATAAATCTGCTGCCAATAGGCATAGAGTGCCTTTCAGAATCAAATATAAACGGCTTTTGAAGAATTATTTGTTAATTTACTTTATCTACACGCGATTGTCATTTATATCTAGTTAGTTCATCTAGCTAAAAAGCTTATTTGAAAATAATGATATAGATTCCATCCACGCAGGCCATGCTCTGTATAAAGGCCAGACAGAGACTGCTCCTTTCTGAACCTGGTTTCACGAAGAAATCTTCCATGTAATTCACTGTCAAGTGGGGAAAAGTGGAGGAGCAGAGAGCTGTTTTCTATCACCCCTACTGGAAAAACAGCACATTAGTGTAGTGGAAAAAGGACTTCTTTTATAGACTTTAGAACTCTGCTATGCCATTTTTCTTAGCTGTTTGACCTTAGGCAGGGTATCTAATGTCCGTTAAGTCTCCCTGTTGTCATTTGTAAGAAGGTAATACATTTATACATAGTAAGGTTGTTTTGAGTATAGAATGAGAAAACATGTTTAGCTTATAGTAAATGCTTATTTGTTCTTCCTTCAACTCTACTGTGGCCGTTGGAAAACATGTATGTGTAAATATTCATTTTATTACTGAGAGTAATATGTAACTAAGTTAAAAATCAATACAATAAAACATTTCAGAATCCTTTGGTTTACACAAAGTATAAACTTTTAATATATTTTAGAAGTCTTTTTCCTAGAAATAAAACTCATTAAAATAGACGAAAGTATTAGTTTATAGAGACTATCCAGTCATATTTCTTTCCCCATTTTTTGAATAGGCCATCTCTTAGTTTTCATTACTCTTAAGAGTTCTTGCTATCTAGTCCTGGAAAAAATTGCTCAAGCCATATATTGCACATATATGTTCCAGTACCATTAAGCATTAAAATAGATCAGGGAACTGGAGTTCATTTCTATAGATACACCAAGTAGCAGTGCCACAAAAATTGTCTAATTCTTTTAGTTTGTGTTGACTGCTGGTACAAAAAAGCCTCTTGAAATATTTTTCCTGAGTGGAAGCAACTTTCAGTAATTTCACATCTAAAAAATTCTGTATGGAGTAGTAAATATGCTGCTCATTTAATTTTAATTCTGTTGCTGTGGAAAAATAATGATATGGAGTTAAAGGTAAAGCAACAGAGAGGTTAAATAGAGACTTCTTTTTCTTTTTTCTTTTTTAATGAAGGTAGAGAGAGTGTAGGAGTTGTTTCATTGGTTTAAGTTTGTAATGTCTGTCTTTACTAATGCCAGTTTTCCCATTGGACTTTGACAAGTCAGCAATGTCAGGCTTAACTAAAAAAAAACCTAGCAGAGCATTAAAATTTCCACACTTGTGAGGATTTTTGTGAAGCATGGTAGAAAGAGTTTCATTAGAATGCAAAATGTCATGGTTTTGCTAAAGTGTGTTATGGGTTTGTGTGCATTTACATGAACATAATTATCTGCCATATGGTTTAAAAAAAGTCCTTATCTTAAAATTCTTAAAATTATAGATGATAATTTTTAATATTTTAAAAACAGAAATGAATTTTGCCTTTAATTAGGTATTTGGTAATTTTCATTAGACATTATAAATTACAGTATTTAAAAATGCTTCCTAATTTTTTAAATTTGGGAGAATTGAGGAAAATATTTCTCTGTAATGATCAAGAAAATAGATGGTTCTGAACTAATATGTTAAAATGTGGACAGTGAAATTTACTAACAATGAAATTGCTCGTGCTATCATTGTTTAAAGTAATTATGTTACAACAGAATAAAGGCAGAAAATTGTTTAGGTTTTAAATTTTAATGTTACTTAAATGGGAATTTAAACAATCTTTACAAAATATCCCTTCTAAATGTCTTTAATTTGGGGGAATTGAAATACTTGAGATTTCAGTGTGTATTACTTTGGGTAGTGCTAATTAGGGTAATAAAAACACTCCAAAATTCCAGAAGCTAAACACACAGAAGTTTATATTTTGTTCATGTAAACAGTCCAGTGCAGGTGCTCCTGTTTATTAGCAGACTTGTGGCTTTCCTTTATGTGGTAATTGAGGGACCCAGACTCCTTATTACATCTTAGGATTCCATTATTCTGTAGGGCCTTGAAGCCCCACAAGCCATTTCTTAAGAACCCCCAGACTTAAAATGAAAAACATTCACATTTCATTGGTGAGAATTTGTCAAGAGCCTTATTTGAATGGAAGGGAGGTGGGAATGTTGTCCCTGTATGGTGGACAGCTTGGGGCATTTCATGATTTTTTTTTAGATGGTAGCATATATTTATGAAATTACATCTAAAAGGTGAATTATAATACTTAAACATTACTTTCCATCTTCAAAGGAAGATTGATTGGGGGTCAGGAAAGGAGAATGGAAGGAGTAAGAACTGCAGGAGGAGGAGTTCTCTTCTGTGAGGGATTTGAGTGACAGTAAACTTCAGCTGTTTAAAGATAGAAATTTTACAGAGAACATTACAACCGGATTTTATAACCTTTAGTGGGTCTCTCCTCTACTATCTAGTTATTGATTGTCATTGTGGTCTATATTAGTGTTCTGGGTGTTTGAGTTATTTCTCACTGTACTTTGAGATCAGTTGACTTTGAATTTCAGTTTGTGGAGTATAGTTTCAGGGGAGATACATTTTTGCACTTCTTTGTCTATTGGGATAAAACATTATTACTTCATATTTTAAAGAAATATCATTTAGATGGCTCTTACTATGTTTTATTGTTTGCTGTTTCTGTTTTTCTAATTCTAAAGTCATTGTAATTAATATATGTGAGCTTCAACCCAGGAAGAATGATAAAATTATCAAGTAAATAACAAAGGCTTAATTATTAACTTGTGCTCATGTTTCATGATGAAAATACTACAACTTCCTTTGGCTAACTCCAGTAACACAGAACCTCTAATACATGAAATGAATTTTATCTCTGGATGACTTTAGTTCAATTTAATCACCATTTATGTCTTTAATTACCTTGGGATTATCTGAGCTCTATGTCCACCTTATTTTTATTCTGAAGAGTTGGTTAGAGATCTGGGGAGTATATATATCTTTATTCTCCAAAAGGAAGATTTTTGAGTAGTCCGATTAACTTCTCCATGGTAAATATTTCTAATATCTTGCATTTTGAAAATTAAAAATGTTATTGGAGGGCCTATTCTATATCCATTATTATACTTGGTTCTAAAAAGAAGTGTGAAAGAAGTAAAATAAATTCTTGGGAAGTTTATAGCTTATGAGTAAGGGAGATAAAATGTACGATTTAATTATTTCAAAACAAAGGAACAAGTGCAAGTCACTATCGTATAAATGTTCACAGACATTCTGAGAGAGAATAACATAAAATGGGAGGGTGGGTGGGTCAGGGACTAAGGAGTTGAGACGGTTTTTTTGGAGGGGTGGGTAACTGCTTTTTTGTGATACAACTCATTTACCATAGAAGTTGTCCATTTAAATTATAACTCAGTAGTGTTTAGTATATACATAGTTGTGCAGTCATCACAATTTTGTAACATTTTAATCACCTGAAATAGTAAATCTTGTACTCTTCATATTACCCCTTATTCTCCCCTCCCATACCCTTAGTTCTTGAGCAAACACTGATCTGTTTTCTGGCTGTATATTTGCCTGTTCTGGACATTTCATACAAACAGAATCTTAGTATAATAAATGGTCTTTTATCACAGGCTTCTTTCACTTACCCTGTTTCCAAGATTTCAACTATGTAAAAATAGCATTTCATTCTTTTTATGGCTGCATAATAATCCTTTGTGTGGATATACAGATGATGGACATTTGGGTTGTTTCTATTTTTTGGCTATGAACATTCATGCACAAGTTTTTGTGTACATAGTTTCCAGTTCTCTTGGATATATATACCTAGGAGTAGAATTGCAGGGTCATATTGTGCCTGTGTATAAACTTGGAGAAAACTTTCAGACTGTTTTCCAAAGTAGCCTCACCATTTCACATCCTCACCAGCAGAATAGGAGGGCTCCAATTTCTCCAACATCCTTGTCAACCTTTGTTATTGTCTGTCTTTT